CTTCTAGTGTCAGCCGTGGATCCAGGAGGACACCCAGATTGCGCACCCTCTCCGAGGGAGCCAAAGTTTCGCCCCCTATAGTCAGCGACGGAGTCAGCTGACTATGCCGGGAGGCCGGCAACCACAGCCACTCAGTCTTGGAAGGGTTGAGCCTGAGTCTGTTTCTCCCCATCCAGACCCGTACGGCCTCCAGGCACCGAGCCATCACGTCAAGGGCATCATTGGGGTGGCCTGGGGTGGAAATGTACAGCTGAGTATCATCAGCGTACTGGTGGAAATCCACCCCAAAGCCACGGATGATCTCACCCAGCGGTAACATTGTTATCCATCCTGGTAACATTTAAATAGTGTCTGATGTAATAGGATCAGTTACTCCAGAGCCATTTTATATAAATCACTTGGAGTAACATAAGTAAACCATTGTTTCTTTTGGGGAAAATAATTACATCTACTGTGAATATATAGATAATACCTGAAGTGTAAGGCATAATAGTGCTATAATTATGGCACTATTAATGAAATAGTACTAGTGAATATACCCATATCATTGATTGATTGATTGATTGATTGATTGATTGATTCTATGGAAAGATGCATAAAGTCAGTCATAGATTCTAAAGAGTATATTTAAGAATGTTTCAAATACAGTTATATGGTGCAAATATCAAAGAGAAAATGCAAATGTTTTAAGTTTAGTAAGATTGGTGAATGCTTTTTCTTTAAGGGAAAGTTTTTATAGAACATATATTCCCTCCAATATTATTTGTCTAAGCTGATTAGCATCTTATAGATTAATATGAAGCCTTACACTTTGTTTGGTAGAAAGTGTTTACATTCTGAAATGTGCTTTTCAATTTCAGCAGTGCTTTTCTTAAACGATGTTTAATATAGCATTTTTTCTACAGTCCCAGTTATATCCACAAATTGTACAGACAGACTGCCAGAATTGGACTAACACAATTTTTTTCAATTAAAATAGTTGCATTAATCCTCCAATTGGCTTCACACATCTTTGTTATTTAAGATAAAAACCACAGAAACTTCCCCAAATACAAAACTCTTTTCTAATCCTCTCCAATAGTATCACATCAATGTTGTACCCTGGCCAAAAATATTGCCTTTCCCTTCTATCT